TCTTTTCATTTCTGCACTTATTAAATATTAAGATAAGTTATTAAAAATATTTTTTTTCTTTATGATGGCAGAGATAAAAATACATTAAATTTTACAATAAAACTAATAAAATTTAGGTTTTTTAAATTTTAATGATGCATGATAAAATTAAAAAAATAATTTATAAATAAAATTGAGGGGAGAGCTTGTTTTTTTTTTTTTATCATTTTTTAGGCTTTTTCAAGGACAGATGATTGATGGTTGGAGTCATTAATGAGTCATGTGACTCGATCTTGGATTCAGACACCGCAAGTCTGGAAATCCTCTTAATTTCTAGCGAACAATGTTGTCTTGTCCTCTTCTTCTTTTTCTTTTTTATAAAAAAATGTTGTCTTGTCTTCCACTAATACGTCGTTTTTTTTTTTTTGCTTGAATAATAATAATGATAGTTTCTCTTTCCATTTAATGAGGATTAGATTACCATTGCCATATGTTTTCCACGTCTTTACAACCAAAACTCATCTTTTTTGTGGAGATTACCATTAACATTTGTATGAACACCATGACCTCAAATCTTGTTTAACTAACAGCAACAATTGATAAAATTACATTTTGAATGGCTTAAACAACACTCTCAAAATATCATTAATTTTTTATCACAATTTTTCTTTTTTATTTTTCATTATATATGTTGATAATAGAAAATATATTATTAAAGTATATATATTAAGTAAAAGTTAAAGTTAAAAATTTAATAATTTTTTTAATTATAATAAAATATGTTAAAAGTGATTTATAATTAAAATCAAAGAAATAAATATACTGTCTTTTTCATAAATAAACTGATTAAAATAAAAATTATTTTCTCTGAACTATAATATAAGTTATCCTTGAGAAACTTATAAGACATAGGAGACGTTATTTTTTTTTTACACATTGCTTTATTGAGTAATTAATGAAATTATTTTAAATAAGTTAAAATATTATATTTATTATGTTCAAAAACTCAATTGAAAAAATGTAAAATTTTTAAAAAATAATCTTTTAAGTAATTTTTTACAATGTAAATTAATTAACAAAAATAATAAAAATTACCTTCATTTCTTATCATTAGGATCAGTGACGGTGCGAAGACTTTGAATTATAGGGTGTGATATTTTTAAAATTATTAATTGAAAAATAATTAAAAAATTTTGAATTTGAAATCATTAAAATTAAATTAAGGTGTGTAAAATATTTGAATCAAGAGGTATAAAATATTAAAATCTATGAACATTTTGTTTTATATAATTTTTCTAAATTTAAGGGCGTGCATTTGCCCCCATGACCATGATCAGGATCAGAATTATTGAAGGTTTTCTGACATCATCTTCACACAAGTCCTGAACAATTGAACGAAACGGAACTCTAATAACTATATCTATAAAATTTGGTAAGTCTGATGAACGGTGAATGAACAGTGAATTTTCAAAAATGCCCCCAGTTCCCTTTTTTTTTTTTTTTCTAACTTCTGCCATTGCAGCACTGTCCATACACTAGACTTTTGTTTTGTTTTTTTTTTTAAATATTTTGTGAATCTAACGTTTTCTTTTATTTTTTTTTAATATTTTCAGATGGGTACGGTACTTCTACTTGAAAATAAGGAAAAAATATTTTATCTATTTTTATCTTAATTAATAGTACATCTCTTTTATTTTTTAAAATTTATATAAATATTTTTTAGTATAAATAGTTACTACTTAACCATTAGTTGACCATTAAGTTATATATATTAGACTAAAATACTCTTATTTAAATATAAATGTTGTCCAAAAATTATTTAAATTACCAAAAAAATAATTTTTTATTATTTAAATGTATTTATTTTGCAACTTTTTTAAAAAATTAAATATATATATATTGACTAAAAAAATATATTCAAAGGTGCAGTGTATGGACTCAATAAAGAGAAAGATAAAATAAAATAATTTTTAATAGTTTGAGGTAATTAAACTAGTTTAAATAAACTCAAAAATTAAAGACGTTAAGAATTATGTTTGACTATAAAATTTTTATATTCTCAAATATTTTAAATTCCGTATAAATTAAGGCTCTAAGGTTAATAAAGAGAATGTAATATTTAATAAACTTGATTTTTAAAAAAATTAAAGAAGTGTGGTTTAAAAAAGTGATATGTAGGACCTACCATTAAAATATGAGTGAGGTCTATATTTATAAATTTTAAAAATTTAAACAAGGTGAAAAAATAATAAGATTTTTATATTTTGAAAAATCATGTAGGATTTTGTACTAAAAATTAATGGTGAATATAAGATTTTTAGTAAAATAATAGGTGTTAGATATATAAAGAATTTTTATATACTCCCTTCATTAAAAAATATAAGATATTTTTTAAAGAGTTGGATATTAAAAAATATAAGATATTTTTAGTATTTTAAGGTATAATCATTACCTTTTTTTAAAATAACACTATTAAATAAATTATTTTATATTTATTTTAGAGTGAAACACTCTATTAAATAAGGATAAATATAAAAAAGTGATATTTTTTTAAAGACAAGTAATCACTTTATTAAGGTTGATATTTAAATAAAAATAGCTAATATTTTTTTAATAAAGAGAGTATCTATATCTATATAAAAATAATTTTTTTAATATTTAGATTTATTTTTATTCTCAAAAACTAAACTATTCCCCATCACACAGGGCATAAATTTAATTTGTTTAGAATTTAGAAGTCACATTATAGAAGCTTTTTATATATGTTTACATTTATAAGTTATTTTGAAAGTTTATTGAAGCAATTAATATTTTTTAATAGTGTCCTTAGCATGAATATTGTTAGTGATCGATGTGGGAGAGGAATAAGATTAAGAAGTTGCATTTAATTATGGGTTTTTAACCTCCTACCTATGCTATATATATAGCAGCAGATGAGTTCACACAAATTAATCCCAGAATTCTTGCATCTCCAAGCCCTTAGATTAATGAAAGAAATCACACAATAATCAGTTGACAGGCCTTGGTCCCCCCCTTCTTAGGGGACCAAATTTTTTTCTTCTTTTATTTTTATAAGAGGCAAGATTTAGCTGTAAATTTTTTATGGCTTCAAACATTTAGAAGTTGTTAGATATTTGGAGGGTTAAATGACAATTTGAATATTAAATTATAAGTTTAGGGTTATCCAAAAATGTAAAATCATTTTTAATATAGTGTTATTCTTTAACTTTTAAAAATGATGTGATATCATTCATACATTTAATAAACTTTAACTGTAATCATTAATTTATAAAAAATGACAGAAAAAAATAAAAAATATTTGTTGTTTCTTTCTAGAGAAAATAACAAGAAAATATTTTTAAATTATATAACTGACATTTTAATCCTTCAAAATGTCATAATTTTTTTAAATTTTTCATAAATTTTTTATTATTAAAAAATAATATAAATAATTAAATTGCTCTTAATTCATTTATCAATTTTTATTCACAGATTTTGTTTTAAAATTCACAATTTTTTTAATAAAATCGAAAGAACTCAACAGCATTTCATCAATCTATATTTAAAATTTGATATTTTTTAAATGTTGTAAATATCAATTATTATTAATAAGTTTCATTTTAAAATTCACAATTTTTTTAAATTGCAAGAATGCAACAACAATTCATTAGTTTGCATTTAAAATCTTGATATTTTTTAGGTGTTGCAAATATTAATTGTTATTAATAAGTTTTATTTTAAGATTCACAACTTTTTCTTTTAAAATTACAAGAATACAACAACAATTTGCAAGTTCGCATTTAAAATTTTAAACTAAAAACAATTTAATTATTTATATTAATTTTTTAATATCAAAAAAATATCTAAAAATTTTATAAAAATTATGATATTTTGATAGATTCAGATGACATTTATATAATTTAAAGAAATTTTATTATTATTTTTTTTATAATTTTTACTTTTTTTAATAATTTTTGGATCCCTTGAAAAAGATGCATGTGAACATTCAAGTGCAACGTCAGACACACACAGTGATGAGAGATCCAAAGAGGGCCCCAGGGTAGATATTACGTACGCGTCACCATTGCATGTACTACGCGTTTTTATTTTATGACAAGACAGGGAACGTACAAGGATTGAAGGATTTAAAAATAAATAAATAATTGTAAAGTTTTGAAAACAAATGGAATCACTTGTAAAATCAAAAACGCAAGTAACAACTTGGTTTCACATTTTAAAAGCTTTGTAAATATCGAAATTTAATTGTAATAATTAAAAGATTCAGGTGTAAATGTTGTAAATATGGAAAGATTAGTTAGAAATCAGTTATATATAATAAATTTAAAAAGATCCGTAAATTGCAAAAATTTTGTTGAAAAGAAAGACAAAGAAGACATATAAATTATAGAAGTAGCTTTGTTTGAAATAACTAAAGATCTAATATAAAAGCATTTAAGGGCGAGAATGATATTTATTTACAAAAATATGTCTGTCATTATATTTGCAAATTTTTTTTATGGGAATAAATGGTTAAAACAAAATTTTACTTCAATCACCCATTAAATATTATTAATTAATTATCTAAAACTAGCTTTTTAGGTGGCCAAAATTAATGAACGTTTCAAATATTTCCATGTAATTAATAAAATTAATAAATATGATAAATTAAAGTTCGAAACCAAGCATATAAAGTATTTACATGCAATTGAGACCTATAAAACATAAGTTAACTCATTTAAGTGTCTTGTGTGAAGTGGCACAATAATATTGATGTAATCAAATGGCAGTTAAATATTTTATTATTAAATCTCAAATCTTTTGAGAAAACAATGTGTGTAATAAGTGTTTCGATTGTAATGATTGTTTTTAATTTTTTTTAAAAATACATTTTAATAATTTGAGTAGACTTAAACTACACCACAAGTCCAATATAAAATTATTGAAACCTTGACAAGGTACAACTAGCAATTGCTACAGCCATAAATTCAACTCCTTCAAAGTCACTTGCTATACATTGTTCTTTCATCCACTGATCAAATCAAAAGGAAAAAAAATCATTATTCATTCACATCAAAAGATGAACAATCATTCTCATCAAAAGCCTCATATTGTTTGTTTCCCATTCCCAGCACAAGGCCATATAAACCCTTTCATGCAATTAGCTAAACTCCTTCATTCCCATGGCCTTCATATAACCTTCATTAACACAGAGTTCATCCACAAACGCTTAGCCAATTCCTTCGGTCCAGACTTTGCCAAGGGCTTACCGGGCTTCAAGTTCGAGATGATACCGGACGGTTTGCCGCCGTCAGAGACGGATACTACACAGGATATTCCGGCACTCGTTGATTCAACAAGGAATCACTGCTATGCTCCGTTTAAAGAGTTGATAGGGAAGCTATTGGACTCATCACCTCCAGTTAGCTGCATAATCGCTGATGCAAATATGAGCTTTGCAGAAAAAGTTGGAAATGAATTTGGAATACCAGAGATTCGGTTTTGGACTGCCTCAGCTTGTGGCTTGTTGGGATATTTGCAGTACGATGAGCTTGTTCAAAGAGGCATTTTACCATTCAAAGGTGATTTTTATCACTCTTTTTAATTTCTCTCTCCCACTAGAAGTTGAATAATTGGAATTCTTGTCCAATTTACAGTCAGTACGGAATATGAAATTGCTGGATAATAATAAGATTCCTGATGAAAATTTTTAATACTTTTTTTATTATACTCATGTCAGTTAAAACTTTAGAAGTTTATGTTCTATTGTATTTTTAAACATGATAGCTATTTTTACTTCAGAAATATATTCCTGTAATAATTTTTAAATGATTAAGGGATCATGAAGATAGCTAGGATAGCTGGTGGTCATCCGAGAGAGGTGAATTAGGTTGTTTACCTTAATTTAAAACAATCAAATATAATTTTGCAGCAAACTTTTGCGGCAAACTCAGTGACTGATTTTCAAAAATAGAGCAATCAATAATTAGGATTTTTTATTGTCCACCACTTGATTATAGAAACTTTATGATTTTAAACATGATTTGATTTCTCTCTTATTCCATAGTCTTGTATTAAAAAAACCAAAACAGCAAACAGAATTCTCCTGGTCAGCTTGCCAACCACTTGGGATCTTTAAATATGTATATCCAATTCCTTAGATTTCTGTCAAGAGTTTTCATTTATTTTGCAAGTTTAAAGTAGGCTGTTCTTGCCCCTGCAATCACAAAACTCACCAAGCATCTTAAACCAGCAAGGTTCGTCCTCTTTGCAATAAGAGTAATTCCACCATAAGTCCTGCTCAAAGATCCTTAATTTATCTTAGAATAAACACTCTTGAGGAAAGAGAAGAAATAGAATATAACTTTTATAAAGAGTAAATGTGACAATGGGAGCACCCCTGAGGTAGTTGAGAAAAGTAAATGAAGCTTGAATGAAAATAATGTTTATTTTAAGCACTTGGGTTCTCTACTTTCTAAATTTCTTAACTTGAATGAAGCTCATGTTTATAGATTTAAAGGGTTTATAACTATTAACAACAATCCGAAATTTAAGTAACAGCAGAAAGACAGAAGACGCTTAAAGACAAAATGTTCAGAATGAAGAGAAAACGTCCTATTTATAGATATATAGTCCATTAGCCTCTTTTTTCATGGTTTATTAGGTCCTTATTAATGCTAAGCCCGTTCATTTTATAACCCCGAGAAAAAAAAACAACTCTAAAAATAAAACTAGTGTGAGTACGTCTCGAAAATAGAAAAGAAAAAACATATAAAACAATGAAAAAAATCGTACAAGTATTTAAAGAGGAAAAAAAAAAGAAAAACCTGCTAACTAATGCCTAGTTCAGCTTTCTTACAGACTGGGGATTTATCCTATGTATCTGTCTTAATACAACCTTTAGCAATAGGCAAAAACATATTGTAAGTCTCTTATAAATCAAATCACATTATATTCTTCACATTTTAAGGCTCTTACGAAGAATATTTAATGATGATATAATTAAAAAAATGTATAATTTTTTAAACGATTAAGGTTTCAAGTAACTTAATTTTATTATAACTGTGAAGTAGTGACCGATACTTTATATTGTGGACTAGAAGGAGCACTATTTTATCTTCCTTTTCTAGCATGGGATTAGAAGCATTTTTTGCCCTATCACATGTTGCAATTTGCCTACTCTCATGGATAACTTTTTGAACCTTTCAGATGAAAGTTTTGCCAATGATGTTACTTCGGATACAGCTTTAGATTGGGTCACAGGAATGGAAAATATTCAACTAAAATACCTTCCAAACTTTACAAGGTTAACAAGCTCATTACATAACTCATTGCTTGATTTCAAAGCTTCTATATCAAAAGATTGCATCACATCATCTTCCATCATCATTAACACATTCCAAGAATTGGAAAGTGAAGCTCTTAAAGTCATCATGACCAAGAACCCAAATGTGTACAACATTGGCCCACTTCACTTGCTCAGTAGGAACCATTTCATTCAAGAGAAGAAAAATGAGTTCAAATCATGTGGATCAAGCCTCCGGCAAGGTGACACAAAATGCGTCCATTGGCTAGATCAGTGGAAACCTTGCTCAGTCATTTATGTGAATTATGGAAGCATAGCTATGATGACTGAGCAAAACTTGAAGGAATTTGCATGGGGATTAGCAGACAGCAAGCATCCATTTTTGTGGATAGTAAGATCTGATTTGGTCAAAGGTGAGACTAAAACATCAAATCTTCCTAAAGAGTTCTTAGATGAGATCAATGATAGAGGATACATCACAAGTTGGTGTCCTCAAGAACAAGTTTTGGCTCATCCATCCATTGGGGTGTTTCTGACACATTGTGGATGGAATTCTACATTGGAAAGTATATGTCAAGGTGTGCCTATGATTTGTTGGCCTTCTTTTGGTGAGCAACCAACAAATTGTTGGTTTGCTTGCACAAGATGGGGCATAGGGATTGAGGTCAAGCATGAGGTAAATCGAGAAGAGATAGCTGCTATTCTGAAGGAAGCAATGGAGGGAGATAAGGGGAAGGATATGAGAAGAATGAGTTTGCAGTGGAAGAAAAAAGCAATGGAAGTTACTAATGAAGGAGGATCATCTTATAAGGATTTCAAAAGGTTAATGCAAGATAGACTCCTTGTGACAATGAATAGTTCTGCACAGGTGTAGTACATGTTTGAGTTCCTCTTCACTAGTTTGGGACTCAATCAAGTATGCTTCTGAATTCCCCATTAAGAGATGGCTGTGTACATGATGAGTCCTATTCTATTTTTTTTAAAACCTATTTTTCTGAGCACTTTACTTAAATTTGTCATCTTAGGGAATCTATGCAACATACTAAATAGAGATGAATCTTATTCATCTGTTTCTAGCTTTTGTTCTTTAAACTTCAATTGAAATTCAATTTAGAAGATCTTGATCCCCATCCATCTTTTGAATCGAATATATCTCAATTAAATCTAAAATGATAACATCCATACATCCTTTGTTATTTTGTCTTGATTTTGTCTTTCCTTGCATAGTTCCTTGTTGTGGCCTTATATTATATTCCTATAAAAGTGCTCCTTTCAATAATTAAGGATTTGTTAACTTTACATTGATTCAAAAAGTTAATTAGTTATAATAAGTTAATATTATTAATAAATTTCTAGAATCAATTTCAATAGAAGTTTGTTAAAATAGAGGATATGTAATTATTGAGTTAGTTATTAGTTTTTTAACAAGTTTGAAAATAAAAAAATGTTGCCAAGTTATAAAAAAACCTTAATGAAGTATGTTAACAAGGATAGAAGGAAGTGTATGTGCATACATACAGAATATAACAGCTGACTTGCCTCCGATCCTGAACGAGACTGGATTAAAGATGTCGATGATTCTATCAATAGTACTTGACGTGCTTCTTGGGGGCTTATCAAAGACAATGAAGGAAGATGGAAATGCATTTTTCAAAAAAAAAAAAAAATACTTAGCTACAAGCTAATCATGAAATTAAAGTTGAACTCTTGGTTTTGCACGAAGACTTACAGTTCTGTTGACTTCAAGGTTTCAGGAAAATTAAGATTTGTTTTGATTCCTTGGAGTTTATTTTTTTTGAATAATGAACATTCATGGCAAGAACTTCTAACTTTTAACATTGTGCAATATATCAAAAGATTATTGATAAAGGATTAAGAGGTTACATATGAACATGTTTATAGAAAAGCGAACTCTTGCACCAACTATATTGCTATAATTTTGCTTATGGAATCAATCAGAGTCTATAATTCTGAAGGATCCACCTTAAGATTGCATTAATTTATAACTTTGTTTGGAACTGATTCGTCCTTCTTGGATTTGTTCCCTTTTCCTGGTAATTGTAAAAAAAGAAAAGGGGAAAAAAAAAAGAACATCTGACCTATTGAAACCAAACCAGACTTGGCCCTCCTTACTGAATCTTCCACGTGTCTATACGTGGTTTTGTTGAATTCTTACATTGCCAGAGCTGCTCGTCTCTCTCAATTATTTTGAATCAGACTCTGACATATCTTTTCAATCATGACCAAATTTGACAAGGGAAACGTGTAGTTTTGTGCGTGTGTTTATCATACATATCCTCAACAATGTTTTCATATAAGCAATGCATATGTTAAAAAAACAAAAAGAGAGAGAAGAGAATTTCATTTAAAGGTCACTAGAAAAACTTAATCATTCATGCATCTAAAAAAACTTTAAAACTTCAGTTCAATTTAAAAAAAAGTTAAAATAATTTTAATAGTAAAAATATCAAATTACTCTTCACTTACTATACAGCATCATTAATTATTAATTTTTTTATTTATTAATTTACTCATATGAGTTGTAAGTTAATATGTTAATAATTAAATAAGACTTGACATAAGTTGTTTAATCGTAGGTAGCAACATCCATTATTAAATTGCTAACTTTACTTATTAATTTACTAACATCAGTTGTAAATTACTGGCAAGTCTTATAATTTACTAACATCAATTATAAATTACTAACTTGTCTTATAATTTACAACTAATGTCAGTAAATTATCACGTAAAGTTAGCAAATTAAGAACTAACATGATCGATTATCTAACAAATAGATAAAATTTATAAGTGATATTGGTAAATTAGTAAGTAAAGTAAGAAAAGGAACAACTAGTAGTGAATGATATTTTGATCTTTTCATTGTTAAAATTATTTTAACATTTCTCCCACGAACTGAATTGAAGTTTCAAATTTTTGAAACCCACCAGTAATTAATTCTCTGTTGTGGTCCTTCACTGAAATTCTCCCTAAAAAAATCCAATTTTTTCAATACTTGAATTGAAATATTATTTCATAACATCTTTTGAAAATCTTTAATTATTTAAATGAATCGAAATGATCAATATTATATTCGAATATCCACTAATTAAAAACGTTTAATACATTACCATCCTATGTTTTATATATTATCATCCACTAATAATTGAATATGTGTCAATAAGCTAATATTTTAAATGGCAATTTAGTTTTTGAAATTGAGATAAGTTTGATACTAATGGATGTGTTTTGAGGTCCCACATAATACATTTAAATACTACAAGATCTATTAATAACTTAATGGAAAAAAAATGATAAGCCCACATTAATTTAGTATCTAATCGTACTTTGAATAAAATTGTCTCTAATAAGATGATATATACTTGTGGGCAATCAAACTATTATTTAGTTATCAATACATGTTGGTTCAATTGGTAAGAATTTGACTCATCACTCATAAAATCGTAGGATCAAATTTCATTGTCAATGTGAACATCTTGTTAGTGAGCGATTTGTAAATATCTTTTATTAGTATTCATTGAACTTAGAGACATAAATTCTGGCCTTGATGAACCTTAGAACCCAAAATTCACATAAAATTTGTTTTTTTAAAAAAAAATTATTTAGTTGCCAATGGTAATGGAGAACCTCTCCATCATTAACCTTTTGAGATCTTTGTAAGAAGATCCTCCTACATCAGCAAATTCCATTACTTTTTTCCCCCAATCCAAACCCTTTTTCCTCATTACCTTCCCTTTATCTCCCTCCGTTGCTTCTCTCACTAGATCAGCTATCTCTTCTCTCTCTATATCTTGCTTCATCTTCATCCCTATCCTCCAAGTAGAGCAAGCAAACCAACAATTTGTCTGTTGCTCAGCAAAGAAGGGCCAACAAATCATGGGCACGCCTTGGGATATACTTTCCAATGTAGAATTCCAACCACAGTGAGTCAGAAAAACCCCAACTGATGGATGAGCCAAAACTTGCTCTTGAGAACACCAACTTGTTATGTATCCTCTATCTTTAAATCTCATCTAAGAACTCTTTTGGCAAACTTGTTGAAGTTTTTTCATCATTCTCATCATCACTTATTACCAAATCTGGTCTTACTATCCACAAAAATGGATGCTTGCTGTCTGCTAATCCCCATGCAAATTCCTTCAAGTGTTTCTCTGTCATTACAGTTATACTCCCATAATTGACATAGATCACTGAACTTGGGTCCCACTTGTCCAACCATTCGATGCATTTTGAGTCAATTTCCCATGGACTTGATCCACTCGACTTGAATTCTTTTTCCTTCTGATCTTGAATGAAATGTCTGCCAAGAAAGTGAAGTGGGCCAATGTTGTATACATTAGGGTTTGTAGCCTTGATGACATCAAGAACTTCACTTTCCAATTCCTGGAATGTGTTAATGATGATGGAAGATGATTTCATGCAATCTTTTGTTATTGAACCTAAGAAATCAAACATGGTATCGTCTAGGCTAGTGGTTCTTATAAAGCTTGGAAGGTCTTTAAGTTGAACATTTTCATTGCTGGTACCCAATCTAATGTTGTATTCAAGGTAACATCACTCTTGAAACTTTCATCTGAAAAGTTAGCCCAAAAAAAAAGTTAGTCACAATTTGTAAGGATCCCGTCATTTAAAAAAAAAAAAAAACACACACACACACACACACACACAAGCTACCGTATGACATCAATAAATAAAATGGGAATGAAAGATTCAGTGGATGGTCATGTGTCCATATCACCATGATAAATATTTTTTTGGAATTGTTCTTTCTAGTGGTCCTTTACCTAAAGAAGACTTTACAAGTTTATTTGTCCTTAATATAAGATAAAGTTAGAATAATTAACTTTTTTTTTTTCAATTTTATGCGTTGTTTATTTATCATCGTTTGAATTATCTCATGAAACAATTATACTTATTATTGTTATTAATGATAAAAGAAAGATAAAATTAAAAAGTTACATATATTTTTAATAATTTTAACGGTATGACTATAATTTCTTAATAAAGCATAAAATTTATTAATTTTGTCTTATATTAAGAACTATGGGAAGTATAGGTAATTAATTATCCATTGTGTTATATGTAATATTTATACTTTATTTCATTATTAAAATTTTAAATAAACTGGAATATATATACAGTTGAATTTTGATTTTTAATAGTAGGATGCATGGTAAATACATTTCTGATTAGAAAATTTACAATTTGTTATGTGAATATATCCATATACTCCATTTGTTTCTTAATAAAACAAACTTTGAAATCTTTTTTTAATCATTGATATGATCTAAGACAAAGTTAAAGTAATTAATTTTGTAATGCGTAAAAATTCTTGAATCAAACATGTTATATCAAATAACTGTATGGAAAGATTTATTATGATCCAGTCTAATAATCATCTATATTAATAAGCAATATAAAATTTATAACAAGTTATTTTTGTGTGTGTTTCTATATATATATATAGAATAGAAAACAAAACAAGTTGTTTGTTATTATTTGATTATACTATAATTCAATTTTTTTTTTTCCCGTTAGAGATAAAGAAAGAGAGATCTAATACCCACCTTTGAATGGGATAATGCCTCTTCTAACAAGCTCATCGTACTGCAAGTATCCTAACATGCCACAAGCTGAGGCTGTCCAAAACCGAATCTCAGGTATTCTAAATTCATTTGCAACTTTTTCTGCGAAGCTCATATTCGCATCAACGATTATGCACCTCACTGGAGATGATGAGTTCATCAGCTTCCCTATCGACTCTTTAAACGGAGCGTAACAGTGCTTCCTTGTTGAATCACACAGTGCCGGAATATCTTGTGTATCGTCTCGAACTGAAAGTCCGGTGAGCCCTTCATGAAGTCTGAGCCGAGGGATTTGGCTAAGCGTTTGTGGTTGAACTCAGTGTTGATGAAGGTTACGTGAAGGCCATGGGAATGAAGGAGTTTAGCTAATTGTATGAAAGGGTTTACATGGACCTGTGCTGGGAAAGGCAAACAAACGACATGAAGCTTTTGGGTATTATTGTGATCATCATCACTTGAATCCATCCCTTTTTTTTTTTTTTGGGATGTGAATGCTTTTCTTTCTTTGATCTGATTTTTAAGGCAAAGAAGAATGAATA